AAAATAAAAATTTAAAAAGTTCAAAATATAGCACGTATATATGTTTTTATACACACTCTATAAACAAGAAAAAGATGCCAATAGGAAAATGAACATCAGAATGGAATATGAAAGAAACTCAAATGTCTACTTAGTATATGAAAAAGCCTTATTAATAAGCAGAAAAAGGTAAGGATTATCAAAAATTCTGATGAATGCCAGAAACCAGTGGCTCATACCCTATAACTCTAGCTACTTGGGATGCTAAGTTTGGGAGAATCAAGGTTAGAGCCCATACTAGAAAGATGAGTTCTCAAGAGCTCCTCTCAATGGAGAGCTGGATGTGACAGCTCCTGCCTGTCATCCTAACTAGATGAGAAGCCTCACAAAGGTGGACTGAGCCCAAATACAAACCTAAGTTAAAAACCCTATCTCAAAATAGAAATCCCAGCAAAATCAGGACATTGTCACACTCTATCAATGGCAACTTATACTGGTATAATCTGTTTGGCATCTAGTAAAATTAAATTTATGCTATTCTATAACTCATCAATTACACTCCTGTGTTAAGTCTAAATGCAATTCATGAATGTCATTATGTGTGTTGGCCAAACTCTAGAAACAACAAATGTGTCTGTTAACAGTCAATAATTAATTATACGTAATGGGCTACTATGCAACAATAAAAATGAACAGGTGGTTTTAAGTGATAAGGTAAATGAAACAAACATAATTTTGATTCTGAGAGTTGACATCAGAATGTACCCAGTATGATTCGACTTTTTATAAAGTTCAGGTGGAGACAAAATAAATTTATAATGTTTAAAGGTACATACTAGGTAGTAAACTATAAAGAAAAGCAAATAAAGATAGGAATATAGGATTCCTTGCAGAAGGAGGAAAACTTTTTTCTCTCAAGGACCATACAAAATTATCAATATAGGCACAGGGTCTCAGGCAGCCAATGATAAACATAAACATCTATCTGTCAGGCACCAAATGATTTCCAGGGTCTTATACATCCCTGGGACATTCACCACCACTAGTTTAGAGGTAAAGAAGGAATCATATTCATACAGGAGGCAGGAGGGAGTCTGAGATGCTTGCAGAATTATTGACCCGGATGTATTAATTCACTTCATTATCTGATAAATATACCCATATGTTTCAGTGCTTTTCGACATAAAAACTAAGCATTTCATTGCTTTTTAAAAGGTGCCCATCAGGGCTGGGAAGGTGGCTCAGTGGTAGAGCGCTTGCCTTGCATGCCTGAGACCCTGGGTTCAATTCCTCAGCACCACATAAGCAAAAAGATTAAAGCCGGAAGTGGCGCTGTGGCTCAAGTAGTAGAGCGCTAGCCTTGAGCTGAAGAGCTGAGGGACAGCGCCCAAGCCCAGAGTTCAGACCCCACGACCAGACCCAAAAAATAAAAAATAAAAGGTGCACATCACTGTGCACCAATGGCTCACACCTGTAATCCTAAATACTATACAGGGTTGAGATCTGAGAACTGTAGTTTGAAGCCAGCCTGGGCAGAAAAGTCTGTGAGACTCTTATCTCCAATTATCCACCAAAAAAACAAGTGGAGCTATAGCTCCAATGATAGAATAAGAGCTCATGGGCAGAGCCTAGCCTCCAGTTCAAGTCCCAGTACTAACACAAAGAGAGAGAGGGAGAGACAGAGACAGAGAGAAAGAAGGGAGAGGGGGAGAGGGAGAGAGAAATTAAACAATGAAATATATTTCAGTCAAGGAAGTAACTTTGTTTTAAGAGTTGTATAAGACTGAACTGAGTGGAAGGAACATAACTGTACGATGGAAACATAATTCAAATACAAATATACAACAGAACATTCTAGTTACAAGTTAATCTTTGTATGCTACCAATTTTCCTAAGCAAATGATAGCTAGAATCAAGTTTAGAGAAAGTTTTCTACTGTATACTATCACATATAATATTACAGTGTGAGGTTGACCCATTATAACAATGAGATGTACAAGACACTATGTTGAAAATGAATTTTACAACTTGTTGGGAGGGAGGGAGGGAGAAGTTGGGGGAGGGAGGGAAGGGATGGTAGGGGAAAAACAAAGGAGGAGGTAACAATGCTCAATAGGAAAGTACTTATTACTTTACTCATGTAACTGTAGCCCCTCTGTACACTATTTCTGTAATAAAAATGTATTTAAGAAAATCATCTAATTAAAAAATAAAAAATAAAAATATTTTTAAAATAAAAAAATAAATTATAGTGTGACACCTCTGTCCACCACATAGCAAACTTACACACTGCCAGAGCTCTCAGCTTTAAACAAAAAGGAAAGAAAAAATTTTCTTGCAAGTCCTGGGGCTTGAACTCAGGGTCTGGGCACTGCTCCTGGGCCTCTCTCAAGGCTAGTACTCTACCACTTGAGCCACAGCACCACTTCTGGCTTTTTCTGCTTATGTGGTAGTGAGGAATTGAACCCAGTGCTTCATGCATGCTAGGCAAGCACTTTACCACTAAGCCACATTCCCAGCCCCTGACAGGCAGTCTTTTTGTTGTTGTTGGTTGGTTGGTTGTGGGGCTTGAACTCGGCCTGAGTGCTGTCCCTCAGCTCTTCAGCTCAAGGCTATCGCTCTACCACTTGAGCCACTCCCAGTTTTCTGAGTGGTTTATTGGAGATAAGAGTCTCATGGACTTTCTTGCCAGGGCTGGCTTTGAACCACAATCCTCAGATCTCAGCCTCCTCAGTAGCTAGGATGACAGGCATGAGCCACTAGCACCCGGCTCCCATAGGGAATCTTAAAAACCAAAACTTTTAGAAAAAAGGGGCCTCTCAAGAAAATCAGATAAATTCATTTTCCTTTTAAAATATTTAAAATCTGGCTCCTCAGAGGCATAGAATATTGAAGGGGGGAAGGTGTTTACAAAAAACTCACTTATCAAAAACATCATAAAATAAAACAATCATCTAGCCCAGACTTTCCCAAGCACAGTTCTAGAGTGTTTAACTACATAGAGTAAGCCACCTATCTTTTCAGAAAATCTGCAAGAACAGTCACTGCCAAGGACAGCCACATATCTGCTTGTTTATGGGAAATCAAGAAAATAGCTTATAATCTCATCTGTCGCATCACACGTTTTGCTTCTATAAGCTCTAAATGTAAGAGTGATTTCAGCCATTTACTGAATCCTCTCTAGATGCCCTATATTTACTGTCTCCTCTAATCTTCACAGACTGAGGAGCAAAGTCAGAAGAAAAAGTAACTTGCTCAAGGTCAGACTGCTGCTGTGTGGAATCATTCCAACTCCAGAGCCTGAGCTCTTAATACTGTTATTGCTATTATTCCATAAAACCTGTCCATAAGCACTACCACTCTCTCCATACTAGATTCCAGATGTGTTCATTTATTTTTGCCTTTCCTAGCTAGTTAACTGCATTTTCACAATGTCAACAGGTTTGAAGGGATCTAAACAAACATTTAAGGAAATGTGATTTTTAAGATTTAGACAACGGAGAACCAGAGAAGTTTTTGTCTAAGACCACAAAGCTGGCTCTGAAAGCAAGCACAAAAACAACCCTGACACCCAGGAGTGACTCCCTTTATACTAAAAGTCCTTCCAACCATGCTCATCTACCCTGAAACCACAATCTACCCTCCATACAAACATTGAAGTTTGCTTTGCCAACCTTGAATGGCATTCCTATGTAAGTTACACACACTTTCAACAGAGAAGCAATTGCTAAGATAATTGGTAGACCTAATATATAACTCTGATCCCTAATTTTGTTAGACAAACATGAACATACCAATATAATATGTGCTAGTATGACAAGTGCTAGAGTAGCCATGTTGGCAATCTGAAAGCATACTGGAGTTAATTATTGCAGACTGGGTAAAGTATGAGAAATGAAAAAAAATACACCCATTCAGGCAAAAGCAGAACTGTAACAGGGTTTAGAAAGTGTTTAAAAATAAATAAAAAGACGTTCTCATTTCCACCAATGGATAGATGATAAAGGTAAAAACTACTAGTAAAACAGTAGATTAGAAAACCTGAATTTAAACCTAAACTGTGACTGTGCAACTTAACCACATTTGAGTCTGTGTCCTCATCCAGGAAATGTGGATTCTGACCTGCCTGTCTCTCAGGATTTGAGAGCCAAATGATGTGAAAGTGTTTAAAACTACCGAACTCCTGTGTTTATGTTTCCACTTCTAAGCGACTGTGTGGGTCCCTCCTCTAAAATGTGGCTCACAAAAACCTCACCCTTCAGGATGAAAATATTCCAATGACATCATTCATTTGCTACTTAGGAGAGTATGTCCAACCTCCTAGTGAAATAAATAAATAAATATCATGTGTATGTATGTGTATTCTTTGTTAATTGCTCTAGCCCTGGTGATACTTCTAGTCAATGCTTTTTTTTTTCCTTCTAACAATTATATTTAGAAATTACTACCAGATGCAGGTTTTCTTCTGGAAATTTTTGGTCAGAAATTCCATCCCCTTTCATAATATGTGGCCAAGCAACCAACTCAGGTAACAAAAAAAAAAAAAAAGGAGACTGCAAGTGACCATCACTTCCATCCCAACAATCTAATTAGGTATTCGATATAGATATTATGTTTTAGGAAATCCACGCAAGCAGATGTGCCTTGGATACCAACATTAATACACCGTGTGCGTTGTTTTCCCCATTTTAAAATACTTGAGGGCCACTATAAGACTTCGCCCAGAATTAAAGAACACTTCTTCTGAAGTTGGGGAAGACTGCAACCCTACTGTCTTTCAACCATCCGTCTTTCAGGGCCCCGTTGAGTTCAACCCTAGGATCCGAACGTGGACGGCTCCTTGGAAGATCAGCTAAATACAAGTTGCAACATACAAAATCAAAAGACCGGACAAGAGCCAGGAAAGAGACACACGGGAGGGGACCCCGGGGGGAGGCGAGGGCAGTGAGTCCCGGAGCCACTCGGGGGCCCGCGGCGGTTTTAATCTCCCGAGCGCAACTTCCCGTTTTTCTCCGGCTTACCTTGTATACTTTCCCAAAGGCTCCGTCGCCCAATTCTCCGATGATCTCCCAAAATTCCTCGGGGTTCAGATCCCTCTTCACATGCTCGTACTGCTTCTTCTTCTTCTCGCTCCCCAACTTGAAGATCTTACGGAAATTGAAGAAGGACATGTTTCCTCCCGACACGGAGGGAGAGCTTAGGGGCTTAAACTACAACAATAACCCAAGGGAGGGAAGAAAAACACCACCAGCAACAATGAGAGGTGAGTTTCAGCTCCCGGCCCCTCTCCCTCGCGGGCCCGGCGGGCGGCCAGGGGCGCGGGGTCCCGTCCGGGCTGCTCCCGCCGGAGCGGCCCCCCGGGAGAAGGCGGGGCGGCGACGCGGCTCCGGCCCGCGGTGGCGGGGCCGCGCGGGCAGCCGCTCCGAACCGGGTCCTCGAGCCCCGCCGGCCCTCGGGGGCTGCACCTGCCCCGACGATCGTCCTCACTCGCCCGGGGCCCGGGTCCGGGGCCCGGCAGGTCGGGGCGGCCCGGATGGCCGCAGCCGCGGCGACTTTAGGCCCGTGTCAACGGCGAGTCTCCAGGGGCGGCGGCCACTCCGGGCCAGGAAAGCGTCCGGCGCCCGAGAGGCGCAGAGTCGAGAGGCCGAGCGGTCCCGCCTCGGCCCCGAGGCTCCTCCGCGGCTGTCTGCTCCCGCGGCGCGAGGCCCCTGCGTCCCTTCAGCTCCGGGACGCCGCCGCAGCCGCCGCTGCCGCTGCCGCCTCGCTCGGTCTCCAGCCCACACAGCCTCGGCCTGGAGCGCGCGCCGACGCCGATCCGCAGCGTGCCCGCGCTCCTCGGCCGCGCGCCCGCTCGGTCACGCGCCCTGCTCGCCGCGTGCTCGCGAGGGCGGGCCCTCTAGTCCTGCGCACGCGCGTTGGGTCTTGTCCGCTGAGAGACCACAGTCCCGCACCTGGAGCCCGCATCTCTGACTCGCGTTCGCGGTTCTGTCCCTCCGGAACCCGAATCCTTGTCGGTTCACGGCTTTGGTGGAGCGGCCCTTGGTAGGTTATGCTTGAGGATGTCACCTCCATTCTGGATCTGGGGGAAATGGTGAAGTGTGAAAATGGACTTTTCTTTTCCCTCCCTTTCCTTAAAGAGGTCCCAGGTGCGGTGATGAGCGGGGACCAGCGGGGACCATGAGCTTGGGCTCTGGGGCCGGAGCCCTGTGACCTTGAGCGGGTGACCTCTCTGAGCCTCAGTTCCCTTGTTGTGAAATGAAGACCCTAATAGTGTCTACCCAGAGGCTCAGTCTTAGCCAGTGTGGCCGAAGTGTACACCTGAGACCGATAAGGATAGGGCTGAATTCTTCACGCGCCCTTCCGGAACCATGAACCCGATACTCCCTTCACCTCCATAGGCGCAGACCTAGGCCGCCCCAGGTGACTCCCTGAACTGAGGGCTTGGCTTCCCCAACTTTTGAGGCCGCCTGGGCGTTCACTGCAATCTCTCAGATGGTTAACCTACCTACCCCCCACACACACACACCTGAGGGACTCTCAGGGCAGGGGCCTGCGCCTGGTCTGGGTATGCAATGCATCCTTGGCATGGCATAGAAAAGCAAGTCTGGTGAATGAGTGAGCAGAGATACCTAGGGCAGGCAATGCTGCCATTAACCATTGCCCTCCAGCCCAAACCCCTCTTCCAGTAAGAGACTTGGAACAGTTTGGTTTCTCAAGACCCTCTGGTTTGGTTTGGTTTTGCTTTGTTTTTAACAGTTTCATTGAAGCATAATTGATGTGTGCGTTTAAAGTGTACACTTTTATCTTTTGACAAATGCATATACTCATAAAAACAGTATTAGCATTTATGAGAAAGTGAAGGAAGGCACAAAGAATAAAACAAAAAGTACTATAATTGCACCTAACAAACATAACTTTTTGGAAAAAAAAAAAAAAAAGCCAAATGTAACTCTTTGGGAGGGGGGGTTGTGCTGCTTGAATTCGGCCTAGGCGCTGGCCCTGAGCTCTTCAGCTCAAGGCTAGCGCTCTACCACTTGAGCCACAAGACCACTTCCGGTTCTCTGGTGGTTAATTGGAGATAAGAGTCTCAGGGACTTTCCTGCCTAGGCTAGCTTTCAGGCACGATCCTCAGATCTCATCATCCTCAGTAGCTAAGATTACAGGTGTGAGCCATGGCCCCCCTGGGGCTAACTTTTTTTTCATCTAGATTAGATCATACAGTACACTTACAGGTTTGTATCCAGCATTTTTCAGGTTCTTGTACAATTCACAATTGTGCTCTTCCACCATGAAATATTAAGGTTATTAAAATGTATTTATTTTAATTATGACATTTCCCCCACATAATTGGTTATTTCCTCAGTATAAATCACCCAGGTAGATTTGAATCAAAAGATATATGCCTATTTCCTTTCTCTTTTTGTTTGGTGATATTCTTTTCAGAATAGAAAAGCCTTTGCTGTTTTCATAAATTAAAAGGCGCAATACTGTGAAAAATAATTCAAATACAGGAATTATGATCTACAAAGACATCTATAACACTCTCCCCTCCTTCTTTCTCCTCACTCCTGACTTAACCACTGTTAAAAGTTAAGGCCGTGGCAACCCGGCACTAGTGGATCACACCTGTAATCCTAACTACTCAGGACACTAAGATCTGAGGATCACAGTTCAAAGACAAGCCAGGCTTTGATAAGGTAAGAGTCTTATGGAGTCCATAAGACTCCATAAGACTCTTATCTTATCAACTACCATAAAACCAGAAGTGGTGCTGTGGCTCAAGTGATAAAGCAACTCGCCTTGAGCTGAAGAACTGAGGGACAGTGCCCAGGCCCAGAATTCAAGCCCCACAACCCACAAAAAAAAAAAAAAAAAGGCCATGGGCTGAAGATGTGGCTCAAGAGGTAGAGTGCATGCCTAGAAAGCATGAGACCCAAGGCTCAAACCCAAGTAACACCATTAAAAAAATTGGCAAAGGGGGCTGGGAAGGTGGCTCAGTGGTAGAGTGCTTGCCTTGCATGCATGAGACCCTGGGTTCGATTCCTCAGCACCACATAAGCAAAAAGAAAAAAGCCGGAAGTGGCATTGTGGCTCAAGTGGTAGAGCGCTAGCCTTGAGCTGAAGAGCTGAGGGACAGTGCCCAGGCCCAGAGTTCAGGCCCCACGACCAGACCCAAAAAAAAAAAAAAAAAGAAAAAAAATTGGCAAAGTTGCGACAGTGGCTCACTCCTATAATCTCAGCTAAGCAGGAATCAAAAATTAGGACTCCAATTCAAGGCCAACCCGGGTAAAAAGTGAAACTCCACCTGAACCAATAAATCAGGAATGATAGCACACACACCTGTCATCCCAGCTATGAGGAAAGCACACATAAGAGGCTTGTAGTCAAGAATGGCCCAAACAAGCCGGGCGCCGGTGGCTCACGCCTGTAATCCTAGCTACTCAGGAGGCTGAGATCTGAGGATCACGGTTCAAAGCCAGCCCGGGCAGGAAAGTTCGTGAGACTCTTATCTCCAATAAACCGCTAGAAAACCGGAAGTGGTGCTGTGGCTCAAGCAGTAGAGCACTAGCCTTGAGCTGAAGAGCACAAGGACAGCGCCCAAGCCCAGAGTTCAAGCTCCACGACAAAAAAAAAAAAAAGAATGGCCCAAACAAAAACATGAAATCCTATCCAAAAACTAAAGCAAAAATGGTTGGAGGTGTGGCTAAAGTGGTAGAATATTTGTCTAGCAATTGAGAGATCTTGAGTTCTGTTGAGGTTGTGATGATGAGTATATTCATGGTATAGACAGTGATTATAATCTCACAGATGTATACTTTTCCTTTCCACACTCACCAAGTTGAATATGAATAGCTTTGTGTATGTCAATCATACTTCAATAAAGTGTTTTTTAATCACTAGGAAAAGATAAAAGTCCAGATACTTTTTTTTTTTTTTTGGGGGGGGGGGTAGGGGTCAGTCCTGGTGCTTGAATTTAGGGCCTGGGCACTATCCCTGAGCCTTTTTTGCTCAAGGCTAGCACTCTACCACTTGAGTCACAGCACCACTTCTGGCTTTTTCAGTTTACATGGTGCTGAGGAATCAAACCCAGGGCTTCACACATGCATTCTACCACTATGCCACATTCCCAGCCCCTGATACTTTTTAATAAGTGATGAAAATTGCATAAACATCTTATGAAAGCTTTTTAAATAAAATAATGGCATAACCAAAAACTGTTAAGCTTTTGAATATGAGGGTACTTTTAGGGCTAATAAAAAGAAGTTCTAAAACTGAATTGTGAGGCCAGATGTAATGGAACATACCTGTAATCCCAGCACTTAGGAGGCTGAGGCTTAGGTCAGAGTCAGCTTGGGCTACATAGAGAGAGCCTGTCTCACAAAAACAAAAAACAAAACAACAGAGAATGATGTCATTTTATATAGGACACTGACATCTTTCTATGCCAGCACAAATCAATCTAACCCTTTTCAATAGATGCATAGAGTTCCTGGTGTCTAGTTATATCATAATTTATTCAAGCATTCCTCTATTGATAGGCATTTAAGTGGTTTCTAGTTTTTACCATCACAAATAGCCACAGTGAGCACAGACATATTTGTGTGTTTATCTAGTTATATTTCCTTAAGATAATTCAAAACGTGGAATTAAATGAGTCAAAGACTTTATTAAATTTTTTTACCTGTGTTGCCAGATTGGCCTATAAAAGGGTTGGTTGTACCAATTTATAATTCTATTCATAATGTCTGAGTGCCAACTATATTACAATATCAGGAGCCCACCAAGATACTATATGACTGCTCCAAAATAATCTGACATTTTAATTTACAATTCTCAGAGTACTAGGGATAGGATGCCTTTTTATATCTATAGTGGCCTCTTTCAATTCTTGTATTGTGAAACAACTCATAGTATTTACTAAATATATCAGCTGATGTTAGCATCTTGTTAATAAGATGGTGGAGCCTAACATACTTAGGCTTATGGAGTTAAATAATAGCTTAGATATTTTTGCCTTGAAAGTACAGCTACAGAAATTATTTAACAATACTAGATGGCATTTAGACAGGTTTGCCCAGTAATGGCCTTGTATTCTTAAATCTAGCCCATTGTCTTCCTATCCTATAATTTCTTGTTGAATACATGAATGAAAGATGGAACAAGGGATACAGGCTAAAGGTATAGTTCAAGGGATAAAAAGCACTTGCCTAGCAAGCATGAGGCATTGAGTTAAAATGCCTGCCTGCACTGCCAAAAAGAAAAGGGGTAAAATATATACTTAATAAAAAGAAATTAGGGGCTGGG